GCAGATTCTCATATTTTCTCCATTTAATCTGTTGTTCTCTATTGTTTTGGTTGAAAAACAGGAAGAAAATCTGACCTCACAGATCTGTATTTGGACTGTAATTCTTTGACTTTCTGTCATCACACTTTTAGAGGTTAGAGATTCAAAATAGGCTCACAAATTCAAAATAAAGTTAAAGCAAGATTATATATTGCTTGATTGGTTTTATTGTTGAACTAGAGGTGTGGTGCATAGATTTGTACACTGGTGGGGTCCCTGGCCTGGCCATGGGGATTGGGCCAAAACCAGCTCTTGGACATCCTCCAAGGGATCTTGGATTGCGAGAGGGCAGTTCTCGTGTGACACACCCCGGAATTGGGCTCCCTCCTCTCTGGTTCCGTGTGCGTCACCCAAGAACCACAGCAGCTAAGTCACTGCAGCTTGGCAGCTCCTGCATTGAGCATCTGCCCCGTGGTGGTCAGTGTGCATCATAGCTATGGGTTGGACTGTTGTTCAGGCTTTTATATGTATACTAGAGGCCCGGTGCACAAAAATTTGTGCACTTGGGGGGAGGGGGGTCCCTCAGACTGGCCTGTGCCCTCTTGCAGTCTGGGACCTCTCGGGAGATAAAGACCTGCTGGCTTAGGCCTGCTCCCAGGTGGCAGAGGGCAGGCCCAATCTCCCCTGTCACGCACACAGCAGGGCCCATCAGGGGGTTGGGGAGCTCCCCCCTGTCACTCACAGAGTAGGGCCGATAGGGGAGTTGGGACACCGTCCCATCACACACAGAGCAGGGCGGATCAGCAGGGTGGGGTCCCTCGCCTGGCCTGTACCCTCTTGCAACCCAGGATCCCTTGGGGGATGTTGGAGAGCCGGGTTCAGCCCGATCCCCACAGGCCCAATCCAGACAGGAGGGAGCTTGATCCTGTGTGTTGGGCATCTGTCCCCTGGTGGTCAGTGCCTGTCATAGCAACCTGTCGATTGGTTGTTCAGTCACTTGGGCTTTTGTATATAGAGATAGAAGGTCTTGGAGTTTGTTTTTGTAGGATCAATTAGTGAAATTTTAGGCATGAAAATTTTAGGTTTCCCTCAACCTCTCCACATTCCTAAGCATCCAGAAGATTATACTACCAAATGTGCATCATTTATGTAAGGGTGTAGAATTAAATAATAAAATAAAAGAATCTTGCTTTAACTTTATTTTTATTTTGTGAGCCTATTTTAAATCTCTAATCTCTGCATGTGTGATGACAGAAAGTCAAAGAATTATAGTCCAACATGGCCAGAAAATAGATTTTGAAAATGAGTCATAGTCTTTCATTGTATTGTTTAAAACAGTATTGTGATTGAAAGATTACTATAATGTATAAGTTAATTAACTAATATAGTCTGTAAATCTAAAATTTTAAAGATGGCCCTCTTCAACTATAAAGTCAAACAAACCTACAGCCCTAATCTTTTTTCCTTAGCTTATGCATAATAAATACCCCAATGATAATAATATATATCTTTTACAATTACATAACCATTTGGTTGCATAAACATTATCTCATTGGATCTTCTCAGAATACCAGCTATGTGAGGGAGATAGAACAGATTGTATTACCATATTTTGTAAATTAAGGACAGGCTGAAATACATCATTTTGTAAGAAAACTGAAGTACAGAAATTTCAAGTGATTTTGCCCATAGTTATTGGACAATTGAAAGATTTAGTGAGCCTGAAACCTCAGCCTTCTGACTTCACTCACATCTTTTATATAAGTTTAGGTGATGAGTCCCAGTAAACATTTATTTTAGCCCGAACTTTTTGAAATCACTCTTTTACTTACTATTGCACCTCCAAGGGTTTCCTAGCCCTAAAGAGACTCCCTGGTGGATATATAATCCCATCTTTACTCACTTGTATTCCTTTTTCTGTACCTGTTCCTATGTGTATCTCTTGTCTCCCTAACTAATATATATGTTCCCTTAGGATAGATACTGTGCCTTATAGTTAATCAATACTGGGTATATAGTCAATCAGAAATTCTTGATCTTTTAATTTCCGTAGTGCATTGTGATTACTAGGACCTGAAATAGTGATGCAGAGGTTTATTTGGTTAGCTGTAGGCCAAGGAGAAAGTGCTAGCCACTCTCCTCAGGAATGATTAGTAGCTATTGAGATGGTTAATGTTTTTATTTAATTTTTAATTTTTTTACAAGCATATATAATAAAAAGCCTAATATGCAAATTGTTCGACCAGAAGTTTGACCGCTTGCTATGACATGCGCTGACCACCAGGGGGCCGCACGGAACATGGCAGGTGTTGGCAGCAGTGGAGGCACTTCCGGCCCTGATGGGCCCTGAAAAGAGTGGGACCATGGTGGGATGGTGGAGCAGGTGAGCTGGCAGTGCCAGGCCAAGATGGGTGTGAGCAGGGGCCCGATTGCCCTGCAGATGGCGACCAGCAGCGGGGGGCAGGGCTGGGGCTGCCACCCAGCTCCCAGGTGCTGAGGGAGCTGATCCCCCCAACCCCCCACAATCGTCCTGCAGACCAGAAAGAGTGGCAACGGTGGGAGGCGGGGCTGCCTCCTAGCTCCCAGGCGCTGAGGGAGCTGGGCAGGGGTTCCAGCCCTGATCAACCACCTAGTAGGTGGGATGGTGGAATAGTTGAGGGGGCAGCACCAGGCCACAGCGGGGTGCGAGGCGGGGCTGTGAGGCTGGGGGCACAAGCTGGGGCTGCGAGCCTGGGGGCAAATAACAGGATTACTTATATTCTAAAGTATTTTTTCCCCCAGCTCTATTTTTGTTCATCAGTTTATGTGGTTCATTATATTCCACAAATGAGTGAGATCATGTGATATTTATATTTCTCTGACTGGCTTATTTCGCTTAGCATAATACTCTCCAGGTTTGTCCATGCTGTTGCAAATGGTAAGAGTTCCTTATTTTTTACAGCAGCATACTATTCCATTGTGTAGATGTACCACAGGTTTTTAATCCATTCATCTGCTGATGGGCCCTTAGGCTGTTTCCAAATCTTAGCTATGGTAAATTGTGCTGCTGTGAACATAGAAGTGCATATATCTCTTGGTGTTTCTGTTTTCTTGGGATATATTCCTAGAAGTGGGATTACTGGGTCAAATAGGAGCTCCATTTTTAATTTTTTGAGGAATGAGATGGTTAATGTATATAACTTAGAGACAAGCCCTTTTAGGAACCACCATTTGTAGAACCATGTACTTTCAGTGAGCATTTCCTCCTGTGACTGGGCCGAATGCAAAGGTAGGCTAGTCACATTGGGAAGTTAATCACCATTTCCTTCTCCAGGTCCTAAAAATAATGACCATTGGAATGATAACAGCTCTTCTGCCTATGTCACTATAGTTTCAAAGCCAACTTTTACTTACCTTATTACATTTAACGCTTTCAAGAGTCCTTTGAGACAGTTAGGTCAGGGATTACTCACCTGAATTCATAAATAAGGAAACTCTAGCTTAAAATAGAGAAATGACTATCCAAAGATCAGGAGTCGAAGTGGTACTTGAATAGAGATTTTTCCAAGTCTCTTTCCATTACACTACACTGTTTCTGATTGTCAGTGATGTTTACCATCATTAGTATTTGATTACCAGAGGATTTCATGGTAGGGGTGGAGGACATTTTTCAAATGAAAAATATTGTGAAGGTAACTTGGCTTGAAATTTAACCTATACTTCTTGTCCATTTTAGCTTTGATTTTATTTGTTCTGAAATGAAATAGATTGAGCTAATTATGACAATTATGTTGATGAATATGATTGAATAAAAATGACAAAATCAATGCATTTTTGCTTTAAAAAAAATCAATCAGCCTGGCCAGTGTTGCTCAGTGGTTGAGCATTGACCTACGAACCAGGAGGTCATGGTTTGGTTCCTGGTCAGGGCACATGCCCGGGTTGTGGGCTTCATCACCAGTAGGGGGCGTGTGGGAGACAGCTGATTGATGATTCTTTCTCACCATTGATATTTCTATCTTTCCCTCTCCCTTCCTCTCTGAAATCAATTTATAAAAATATTGTTTTAAAAAATCAATCAGGTCTTCTAGAATTTTTAAAGTATAATTCCAAAACATCTAGATGCAAAAACAAACAAGACCTTGAACCAGATGAATTTACAGATATTTGGGTTTCCTCAGTTTAATCCACACCTCCTCAAAAGTTACTAATGGATGTTTTTAGTATGCTATTGGATATTCTAATAATAATAAAAGAAACTTCACCTTACATAATTGCTACATTAAATACACATTTTTTTTCATGAAAAACACTTCTGTTGGCTATTTAATATTGTTTTAATTCTTCTATATAGACAACAGTAACGTGCACTCGTATTTCCTCATATTTGCCTAAATTTAATTTAAACTTCAAAATATTTAAAATGTGACCCACTGTAAACTTTAATAGAAGTAAATATATATTGCTTTAGGCTAAACTAGGCAAATTCTCTGGGTAGTGTTTTAAATCACAGTGGTAACAAGGACAGTAAACTGAACATGTGCTAGGTTCTTTACAGACATTATAGATTCATAAGCTATAATAATGATCTGAAATTTTAGATTAATAATAACTAAAGCACAAACAACATAGTTATGATGTGTGGAAACCTTTTTAAAAAAATCCATCACTAACCTCCAAAAAAGATTTATAGAGCACCTCTCTCAGAATTCGGAAACTGAGGTATTATGCTGCTAATTAGAAAGGTAACAGACATGTTAAGGGGGAGGGATATGTATATGATAGGTTTATTTTAGGCTTGTCACAGTTTCCTGTAGCCCAAGTCTATTGTCTAATGAATAATAAATAGCCTCAACTATTGTAACATTAATATATGGAAAAATTTTCAAATTTTAAGAGACTTCCTGGTAATGTAATACCTGGGCTACTAGAGTGATCTTTCTAATGTAGCTTCAGAAATAATAAAAAATGTCCCAGAAGTAAAAACCTTTTGTAAAACATGCCTCATTTTGTTTACAAATGATGGATTCTACTTTTTGCAGATGTGTCTTGCTGAATCGGGGCTCTCTTACCCATGCCATCGACTGACAGTGGGAAGGAGATCTTCACCTGCACAGACCCGGGAGCAGTCTGAGGAGGTAAGCCTGTTAGCCAGCTTTTCAGTGAACAGAGGGCCTATCCTCCACACACCTGCCCACTTCCTATTCTTTTTTATTGGCCACAGCAATGAATAGATAAAGTTAATGTAGCGTGAATAAAGTCTCAGTAAATTCTTTTTTTTTTCTTCAGTAAATTCTTTAAGGCAGAAACTTTCCATGCAAGGTTATGGCTAATGTGGTCTTTCTTGTTCTGTAAGTTTCATGTTTCAGCAGACAGAATTCAGGTGGATTGGTTAAAATGATTTTTACGTAGAACTGTCAGTTTAACAAAGGCATTTTCTTTGCTGCTGACTATTAATTAGGATTGAGTACATTTATTAGGATTGATTCTGAAGGTTCTTTAACTCAGTGAGTGAGTACACCTTCTGTGAACCAGGCATTGTGCAAAGATGAATAACAATGTACCTATACCAAGATGCTCAGAGTCAAAGGTAATAGATTAGTAAACTAATAATAATGACATATTGCAATAAATGCAGTGATAGCAATCAGTGTACATAGGGTGCTATGGAAACAAAGACGAGGGCCTGATCAGATTGAACATGTTTGTGTGTGTGATGTCTCTGTGTATGTGTCTTTGTGGGGCTGAGTGTTATTATAGTTCACCTCTAGCCCTAACACCTAGTGTAGTGCCTGGTACATACCAGCCACAAAAGAGTATTTGTGAATGAATGTTTTTTTCTTTAAAAAGGAAGATTAGAGGAGTTGACATCCAAATCTATATATATAAAAGCCTAAGAAACCATTATGACTGGTCGACCAGTCGCTATGACACACACTAACCACCAGGGGGCAGACGCTCAACGCAGGACCTGCTACCTGGTGGTCTGTGTGCTCCCATAGTCAACCTCCCACAGCCGGCCAACCTCCCACGGTCCCTTCTCCCGGCCGGCCCCGATTGGCCCCATCAGAACTGGGCGAGACAGGCCTCGATTAGCCACTATTGCCAGCTAGGCCAAGGGACCCCACTCATGCATGAATTTGTTCACCAGACCTCTAGTAGAATTATAAAGAGTGAGTCACAGTCAACCAAATGAAGAAACATGGAAAGAGTATTCCATTAAGAGGAAACAGCACAATCTGATTAGTAAATGGGAAGAAATGAGTACAGTTTGGTGTTTGTGCAAAATAAAATGGGACACAGAAAGATAAGAGATGAGACTAAGGTGAGTTGGGCTTGTATGTCTAGGGAGGGATTTGAACTCTGGGAAGCCATAGTAGGGTGTTAGGTGAGGAATGGTTTTTGTTTTGTTTTTCTGCTGTGCAGAGATTAGATGTAAGGGAAGCAAGACTACAGACAGAGAAATCAGATATGAACCTATTTTACTAGTACTGCAAAAGATAATAAGATCCTGAACTAGAACATACTTAGTAAAAAGAGAGAAGGATATGAATTCAGGAAATATTTGGAAGGGGAAATCAGTAGGACTGGTAACTGATAGGATGGATCTGTATGAGAAAAGAGAGAGGGAAGAAATAAGAATGATACATAGCTTTTGGTTTAAGTGACAAAAAATTCATTCACTAAATTCTGATTCCTACCTACTCCATGCCTGGTACTGGTCTAAGTGCTGGGAATATGGCTGTGAACAGAGCAAAGTCTTCAATAAAGGAGTTAGCTTATGCTGACCCCCTGCGGGGAGAGAGAGATAGAGAGATAGAGAGAGAGGAGGGAAGGAGGGGGAGAGGGGAGGAAATTGAATGCAGATAATTGCCAAAAATCTGCATTCCAATTTTTAAAACATGGTTAGACAAATACTTAGCTTGTCTGCTTGTGGTGCAGTGCCACATACTATTGCTTCCTGAACTATGGGCAGACAAGCTGCATAGTAATCCAGTTCCTCTTGAACATCTCTGAATGCACACTGCAGGTTCACTCTCTACAAAAGTGAACTTTCCACATCTCCTCCAAAATCTATCTCCTCACATGTTAATGCTCATTGTCACCCCAAGCCCAAAACTGTGTAGTCCTGTCACCGAGGGACTTGCTATTCTTTCCCATACATCAGGATTTGTATTACCCTTTCCTTTGTTCTGCTCAGATAGTGTATTTTTTATATCAGCATCAAATTTGTTACCCTAATTTGTTAGTTGAGAAGTTTCTTGCTATTAGAGTTTTTGTTCTGACCATTATCTTGATTCTAGCCCCACTATAACCTCTCCAACAGGTGGGAGGGGTAAGGGATCTTTCTTGCATTTTTATCCTCCCCCTCTCTCTTGGTTCTTTTTCTTCATCCTAAAAACATATCCAAAACTCTAGATAGATAGATAGATAGATAGATAGATAGATAGATAGATAGATAGATAGATATAGATATTCCTTCAAACCCAATTTCCCCCCTCAGGCTTTAGCTTCATCTTTCCTTTGTTCACAGCCAGGCTTCTTGAGGTAATCTACACCAGATAACTCTATTTCTTCATTTTCTATTCACTTAACTCATTACAACTTGGCTTCTTTCTACCATGTGACTATAATTGAATTTAACCATTAGAGTCAGATAATAGTTTTTGTTAATGTTAACAGGTACCATGCTATGCTGTCTCTTTTTTTTCACGGCCACCTTTGTGGGTCAGTATTAGTCACATTCTACAGTGGGGAGCAAAGACACTTGCTGAAAGTCATATAAAGGAAAATGGTATTCAATACCAGGTGTTTTGGTTATAAATTCAGATACTTTTTGTGGTGGTTTTCTTGTCATAATATAATAGTTACCTCTTTCTTAATTACAATCCTATTGAACCTATTTACAGTTATTGTCTATTGAAATTTTCTCAGACCTTGCTTCTAAGATTTTCTTTCAATTGACTTTCTAATCTTTGACAGCTTATCTCTCTATTCTGTTTACTGTTTCTCTTCCTTTGCCAATTGAAATATTTATATATTCTGTAAACTCTTATCTTTATCACTCTTATTTCTTTATTTTTTAACTGATTGATCGTATTCATTTTCATTATTATTTATATACTGATGACTTCCAAATTTAAATGTTTTCTGGGCCTCTCTCCTGAGCTGGTAAGATTTTTTTTTTCCAGCTACCTACTGGATGTTTTTACCTAGACATCCTAGAGCTTCCTCAAATTCTGAGAACTGGTCTCAGCCTCCCCACTCCCCGGACCTAACGGTATCTACCCACTCAGTTACCCAAATCTTGGTGTCATATTCACCTCTTACTTTTCTTTTAATCTTTCTTTTTTTCTTGATCGTTAAGTCTAACTGGTCAACAGTTCCTATCAGTTCTGCTGAAGTATATTATTTTAAGTCTGTCCCCTTCATTCAATTCCTACTGCTACGGCTCAAATATAGGTTCTTGAGTTCTCTCACTTGCAACTTTGAAATTAAGTCTCCTTTCTCATGTCCTCAAGTCTAATCTGCCATTATGCCACCATACTACCCCAAACACACACACAGCCATCAGTTATTCCCTCGAACAGTTCCTGCCTAAAAACCTTTAGTGCTTCCCCTATTGCCATCCGAGTATAGTCCAGATACCTTAGTGTGCTGATTTTAGGACTGCCACATCTAGTCCCATCAAACCTTTTGTCCTTCCTGCCAGTCCACATTCCTCTTTCATGCCTAGAGCTAATGATTCCATTTGCTTTGCTGGATTCTTTATTGATTTTTTAAAATATCCAATTGCTGCCCTAACCGGTTTGGCTCAGTGGATAGAGCATTGGCCTATGGACTCAAGGGTCCCAGGTTTGATTCCGGTCAAGGGCATGTACCTTGGTTGCGGGCACATACCCAGTAGGAAGTGTGCAGGAGGCAGCTGATCGATGTTTCTCCCTCATCAGTGTTTCTAACTCTCAATCCCTCTCCCTTCCTCTCTGTAAAAAAATCAATAAAATATATTTTTTAAAAAATCCAATTGCTTGCTTGAGTTTTTTTGTCTGCTTAGAGTACAACTCCCTCCCCATCAAATTTCCATTACACATGCTCCACAACATTGGTATCTTTTTTTAAGGTATGGGTTAAATAGTAGCACTTATGTGAAGCCTTACACAGTCTTCTTCACTGGTCCTAGAGTAACTAATCACTCTCTCCTTTATTTTCCAATAGCCTTTGCTTAATCTTTTGTTGTACCTCTCATCACATTGAAAAAGACATATTTGCAACTAAATATGCCTTCCTTTAGATAGAAATTTCTTGAAGGCTGGGACTATGTTTTATCTTTAAAATCCCTTAAAGCTTTAAAATCTGATTCTTAACGGGCTGAACTCTAATATCCCATCTAGCTAAGTTTTATGAGTCTTTGATTATAAGTTTCCCTAACTTCTAACCTGGTGTTTTGATATAATAAGTAGTTGGTGAAAGGAATATCTGCTTCAGTTTTAAGCTTGCCTTAGTGCCAAGTATATCTGAATCCTAAATTTTTATCTCAAGCAGTTTGGTTATTATCTCCTCTAGGAAGTTTGCCCTGATCCCTCCAGTGCATTAAATGCTGCCCTCTGAACTTATCTGTCATAATACTTATCACTAGGTATTATAATTATCTTTATATTTTATATGGTGTTCCTTGAGAGACCATAATCTATATCTTTCACATGGATCCAATCAGTGTAGCACTTAGTAGGAGTTTATAAATATTTGTTAAATGATAAAAGGAATAAATTAATGTAATAAGTAGCTAAAATAGAATCAAAATTTTTAGATGTTTTTAAAATTCTGAATAAATAGGTTATTTGTTTGTATTTAAAGAATTTTAGGACAGCCATCACTGAACCAAGAGATTATTATTAGCATCAGCAAACATTAATGATAAAAAGGTTGTTTATCTCATTTTTTAGAAAAAGCTTTTCCTAACCTGTTTGATGGCTGATAAGAAAATGTAAGGAGATTGGGAGTTCCTTATACATAATTAAGTAGCTCATTCTTGCAGATACTTCAATAATTCATATTTGAAATATACTTTTTCAACAAAATTGACTTTTTAGATACCTCCTTTGAAGATGTTATCGTCGTAGGATTTCACTTTCTTGGGCTCTTCAGAGATTTGGGAACGCTATACTTTGTGAAGACAAGATGAATAATGGGTTACATAGGCACAAAATTAAAATCACCATCCTAATATGAGGTTAAGTACTGTTGTTATGGAAAGGGACTGCTATTTAATTGAAAACTGAAATCAGAGAAAGAGGATCGATATGGGGACTAAAGTGAAGGGGGTGAGAAATAAAGATGATACATAGAATAATCCCTTTCTTTTTGTCTGTGTTCTCCAACCCTCCTATTTAACCTGATGCCTCTTAAAGTAAGGGGTGAGTACGAGGCAAGATTTAATCGAAGGCTAAGATGATAGCTTAGCTAATAGAGGATGTGAGGAAGTTTGTCATACTGGCCTTTTGTTTATTTCCTCTTGCCTGTGAGCCTGAATGAGCATCCTAAAGGAACACATAATGTATCTTTAAGGTTTTGAGCCTTTACCTGTTTAAGACTGAGTCTCGAAGTTCAAGTGAACTTCATACTCCAGATATTTGCCTGCCTGAAATACCGAGGGAATTCAAGCACAGTTGTGGTCTTAGTAAAAGTATTGTTTTACGGAGGGGGCTCCCTCACTGCCTTGAAATGAAAAGGGTTTTTTAAATATTTAAGCTGTTGAACTGTTAAAATCAGGAAGAGGTCTTGGCTCTACAAAGCAAAACACTAAAGTAGGATTAGGATCACAAATATAACCAAGGCTTCTGTAAGAAATAATGGTATAGTCAGGATAGCAGATAGACTGCTTAGGGCCAGGGCCATTCATCTTTATTCATCCAATAAGTACATGTTCATTACCTTCTCTATTCAAACCATTGAGAAAACTATCTTTGAAATAAGAGGGAAAATCTTAAACAATTCTGGGCATTAATGCTTGGTTATGCCCAAGGAAGAAATGCTAAACCTACTGAGCCAAATGGAGTAAATGTTTTGCCTTCTTCATTTGGAGCTGTTAGACTCACTAGGTCAGTGGTTTTTAAAATTGTTCCATAGTGTCCTGAGAGCCATCAGAGATACCCCAGCTGTCGAAGGGATAGGAGGAAGAAAAGGCCAAATGCAGGAGCATTAGGCTCCCAATTGCCCTCTCCCTGCATCCATCAGAGTGGCCTTACTTTTCATATATTGTATGCATTATAATTTTGCAGAATGTTTTGCTTGGGGCTGGGTAACCCTGTGAAAAGAAATTTGAAAATCATTGATGAGAGATCTTTAAAATCCCTTCTAGCTTTAAAATCTGATTCTTAACGGGCTGAACTCTAATATCCCATCTAGCTAAGTTTTATGAGTCTTTGATTCTATGTTTCTCTTAATGCTTTTCTGGCAAATATTTATCTCTAAGTTAGGCTCCTCTGCATTGACTAAAGGATCAAATAGTTTCCCCATTTTCATAACTTAAGTACACAGCACACCATATTTTAAAAGATAGAAATTTCACAGTGTATTTTATGTTATCTTTCAATAATACTGTGAGGATAGTGTGCCATATTTTACTAATGAAAATTTTGAGAACCATTGCAGTAAGGAAGTGCCAAGTTTGAAAATGCTACCCTTGCTTTTCAAACATACCCCTGACAAACATAGATTAGTGCGAACTTTATAAAATCTCATATAGCTTACTTTGTCTCTGACCTCTCCAATTGTACCTGTCCCCTCATTTTTTGAGCAATTACTTATTGAGCACTTAATTGTGTTACTATAGGCTAGGGATGAAATAGACAAAAGTTCCTGTCTTCAGTAAGTTTGTAAGCACTTTTTATTTTCCCTCCATCTGCAATCTTTATCTAGGGGTATCACAGCAAGTTTAGAAATATATATAAGCCTTAAACTGAAAAATATTAAGCTTTGCTCTAACAAATGGCTCCTTATTTAGTAAAGCTTTTATAATGTTAAATGTGATTGCATAACTTATATTTTGAAATTTGATTTCCTTAAATAGCAAAGCACCGATGTTCATATGGTTAGTGATAGTGATGGAGATGACTTTGAAGATGCTCCTGAATTTGGGGTGGATGATGGAGAGGTATTCGGCATGGCGTCAACTGCCCTGAGAAAATCTCCAATGAGTGAGTATTAATAGCTCTTTGGGTCCGGCATTATAATGCTCCCTTTTATTGCAAAAACTTATTAAGGGTAGTGAACTTAAAAGTTTCTTACTGACTTTCGGGTTTGGAAAGAGAAAATATAACAAATAGGCATTATTCATTAGAACTAGAGCCTCTTGAGTTTTAATTTTATTAGGCCTACTGATTTTCAATGCTTTAGTAAAATTCATTAAAATGCAAGGAAATGTAACTTGTTTCACATGTGTAATTAGCCAAGAATCTGTCCCTTTACTTTAAACCTAGAGTTTGAAAAACAAATAGCTGGACTTTCTGTGACTGCAGTTGTTTCCCCACATGTTACTAGAGATATCAAAATTTTTACTATTTAAATATTTTAATGAATTAAGCATTAAGTTGTATTTTTTAAATCTTGTAATTAAATTGACGAAATCTCCAAAAACAAAAACAATAGTAGTATTACTTTTCCATTCACTGGTACTCATCTTTGGAAGAATAAATAAATAAATAAATGTGCTATCTCCCTCACTTACACCTTATAAGATACATACTGTAGAATCATAAGTGGTTGCTATATGCAAAATGATCCTTAAAATAAGTTCTTAAATGGCTCATTTACTCTGAAATTAGGGAATTCCTGGGGGCAGAAATAGGTATATTTGCATTAAATTGACGATTTTCTTGATTAATAGGTCTTTAAAATAAATTGAGATTCTTTTTATATAATTTAATCACAAGATGTCATTTCAAGAAAACATTGAAATTCTGAGTGATGCCTGGCACATGTTTTAATTGCCTATTAACAAGATTGTGTCAGTTGTTTTTCCAAAATTTATGAGCTTGGGATTTTTTTAAGTTTCTTTCTCAAGATTTGATGAAATCTCCTAATGTATATAAGGTAAAATGTCTCCCCAGATATATCACAGAAACTAAAACTTAATCTTATTTTCTCTTTATTGATTAAATATATTTCTTATATGTGGGATTAGATGTTATGTGGTTTGTTTTTTGTGTCTATTTGTTTTTTTTGTTTTTGTTTTTGTTTTTTCTTTTGTTTGTTTTTTAGTGCCAGAAAACGCAGAAAATGAAGGAGATGCCTTATTACAATTTACAGCAGAGTTTTCTTCAAGGTAGGGTTAGGATATTAACTATATAAAATTGATGCTTTTTTAATGACGTATTTTTCTGGAGCAGTTTTAATCATAAATTGATTATTTTTTATTTCTCCTTAAAGTATTCAATGGTTCTGTTTGTCAACTTATATAGTCCTGATAGTGAAACATGTTGTATTCACTATCGAATAACTAGTTAACCATTTATGCCACTTCATAGATATAGTCATCTTATCTCTGTAGCTCTTTTTTTCTTCTTCTTTTTAAATTTTAGAGAGGAAGGGAGAGGGAGAGAGAGATAGGAACATCAATGATCAGAAAGAATCATTGATCCGCTGCATCCTGCAAGCTCCCTACTGGGGATCTATCCAGCAACCCGAGCATGTGCCCTGACTGGGAAATGAACCGTTACTTTCTGGTTCATGGATCATTGCTCAACCACTGAGCCACACTGGCCAGGCTTTGTATCTTTCTTTATTGAAGCACAATTAATGAATCACTAATTTAACATTTTGACTATATTCCCAAAGGACTAGGTTACAAAATACTATTTTTTAGTGTATCCTAGGGCAAACAAAATATGCTTCAAAATAACATTACATATAAAATTAATTTTATTTTTTTATTATTTATTTTTTTAAATATATTTTTATTGATTTCAGAGAGGGAGATAGAAACATCAGTGATGAGAGAGAATCATTGATCAGCTGCCTCCTGCACGCCCCCCACTGGGAATTAAGCCCACAATCCAGGCATGTGCCCTTGGCTGGAATTGAACCCTGGACCCTTCAGTCCACAGGCTGATACTCTAGCCATTGAGCCAAACTGGCTAGGGCTAAAAAGATAATTTTAAATGAAAGTGAATTTTTAAATGTTTGTTTGGAGTCATTTAGCATTTCTTTTTTTAAGAGTCTAATATAGCATGTTTTATATGCATTTGAGATTCTCCAAAAGTGTTTAAGTAGAGAGGATTTAAATATTCAACCATAAATTTTCATGTAAATGATATTTCTCTTTAGTTCTATTTTCTGACATAATAGTATAATTTGAAAACTACAGGATACCATTTTTCCCCTTTCAGTTTGACTTCCAGAATAAATGATCTAAAATGCAAAGTTAAGGCCACAGTAGCTAGCGAAATCTTGTGACAGTGGATAACCCGAAACTGCTTATTTATAAATGGCATGGTTTTGTGGCACTTATTAAATACATTTGCTAGATGTACTTAAAATTCTATTGTTCTAATATATCAGTATAGGCCAAGAAGAACTCTAAGAACTAATGAAGCTCATTCCCATGCCTTTAAAGAAATGTTTTAGAGTCTGCTTTGAGAGGTGCCGGGGGGAGGAAGGAGGATAATTGGGGGAGAAAAAATAAAAAAATAAATGTTTTAATGTTTGATCTGTACATAAGAGATATTAGCCTTGAATTAACTTAAATCATTGTTTAGACTTGTGTAACTTAGAAGTTCATTTGAAATGTATTTTAATTAATAGGCACACTTTTTCCTATAGATATGGAGACTGCCATCCTGTATTTTTTATTGGATCATTAGAAGCTGCTTTTCAAGAGGCCTTCTATGTGAAAGCCCGAGATGTAAGTGCAATCTTACTTTTTCTGGTTAAAAAGTACATCCCATAGTTTTACCACCAAGCCTGGGGCAATGCTTAATGTTTTCTGTTTTTTTCAGGTTGAAGACTTGATTTTTATTCTGTTTCATCTACCACCATAATCATTACCAAAATGCCCATTTCAGAGGGGTAGTAGTGTGATAGGGTACTGCTGGCTCTTGCAGAAGGCCTTGATACAGGGTTTTTTTTTTTGTAGGAAAATAAAAAAGAGTGGACATGCTTAGAAGGGACCAGGCTACTTGTTTGTATTCTTTTCAGTTATGTGATTGACAGGTTCTTGCTAAAGGATTTTTCCTTCAGTCTTTTCCCAAAATGATTATTCCTTCTAGTGGTATGTATCTAATAGCTGCAATATATTTTTCCCAAAAGTCACTTTAGACAACAGAAAGATTCTTCCTTAACCTCAGAAATGGGCTTTGTGATCTTGAAATCAAGTAGATTGACATTTATAACAAGAATCAAAGGGTACATTTGAAGCAAGAAGGTTCTATACCATCACTCTGTTGGCAGCAGTCAAGACATGGCAGAAATCAGTAATCTGGTTTCTGCCTATTTGTGCAGCTTCAGCTTTTCCCATTCCCTGCCTTACACTTAATAAATCTAGCAACAGTGTACCATTTGTATTTTACCATAATTTTACTCTTTTTTCCATGTTTCCCTACTGTCAGGAATGGCTTTCTCCTGCTTTTTACCTGGTTGACTCTACACTTTCTCTGAGACTTAACGTTACTTTCCTGACTTTTCCACTCCTCCCTCTGACATTAACCACAGCCACTCCTTTAATACTTTGCAATAATACTCTGTGCTCTTATTGTTACACTTAACATGTTGCTTATAATTATTCTTTCTCTCTCCATATATGTATCTTCTTGAGGTTTTTTTTCTTTTTAGCTGTGACTGTGTAACCCTCACATTCTTATACATAGGAAGTACTCTATATGTTTAGTGAATGAAGGAAAAAAGACAGAGAGGAAGGAATAGTGTGTAGATGGAGTAGAGGGTAAGTTATTGGAATTAAAGAGGGCATAGAATTTTGAGAATAGAGTTCAAGGATGCCTCTGAAATTTCTAGTTTCTAGTATATGTTAAACTCTGACCTAAAGAAAAATTGGTTATAAACAGATTTTAAAAATTGAATTGCAAGACAATCATTAGTAATCAAACTTAGAGCTATCACTGACAATTTAATGAGATAGGTTAAGAAATATAAACATCAGATGTTTTTTACCCTAAAAATAGTGGAATACTTCATCATACGGGCTGTTTTAAGCATCTATTTCTAACTCTTAAATCTATATTAAATTGATATTATTTTTGAAGAATTACATTTTTATAATACATGTTATAGTTTCTATAAATATAGGTTCATGGGAAATACTGAAAAGCAAGAAGAAAATATTCTAACAGATTTATGGTTAACTTTATGATATATGTTTTTTCATAATTTTTATTATATATTTCAATGAGTATATTTGTGAATATTTAACATAAAATTGAGTCATGTTATAATTTTGTTAAAAGGTTTTTTTGCCTTTTAATATTATGATTATTTCTTAATTATATTTTAACTTTTTATAAAGATGATTTTAATATAGAAAAAGTAAAGCAGAATAGTACAATAAACACCCAAAATTCTCTATAGATTTAATAATTACTAAAATTTTGCCATATTTGCTTCTTCTATATACAGGGCATTTAAAAGTTTTAATGGAGTTTTAAGGTTTAAAGCTTCAAAAGTTGAACTACTTACTTATAAAAGAGCAGCATTTGAAATTTAATTCTTTACATTTTTGTACTTATTTAAGGATTTTAGTGAATAATTTTTATAAGTTTTGTTTCATTCTCTGAAAATTGCAAACATTGACTAGAACAGAAAATAAATTTAAAATTTATTGAAAAATTCACAAAACAAGTGTAAAACAAATATAAAGTTTCAAATGTTTTTTTTTAGTTTGCAGAAGTTAAATGATTGAAATTATTAAAACTTAAAACTGTTCAAAAACATTTGATATACCCTTATATATTCATTATTTTTTACTAAGCCATTTTAAAGTATTTTACAGACATCATATTTTACCCCTAAAATCTTCTGCATGCATTTTTCAAATATAATGATATTTTTCTTCATCACCACGGTACCATGTAACAAAATTAACAGTAGTTCCCTAATATCATCTGTCTTTTTAACTGTTTTTTTTGGGGGGGAGGGGGGGCACCACAATCCACTCAAGAATCATGAATTATATTTGGTTGTTAGATATCTTAAATCTCTTTTAAACAAGCACTGCCTCCACTTTTTGTTTTTCATGACATGTGCTTTGTGAAGAAATCATGCTAGATAACTTATACATTGTCCCAAATTCTGGATTTGTATGACTGTTTCTTTGTGGTATTATTTAACTTGTTCCTCTATCTCTGTATTTCCTGAAAAATGGATATTAGGTCTAAAAACTTTGTTTGATTCAGGTTGAACTTTTTTTTGCAAGAATGCTTTGTAAGCAATGCTGAATACTTTTTTAAGAGGATTTTTAATAGTTATAGAGTCATTGTATGACCATGTTATTATATTTAAACAATTATTTATTGTTGGACATAAACATGTTTGAAAGAATATCTAACTATAGCTTTGAAATAATATACTTTTTAATTCGCTTTTTAATAAGAATGTATTTGTGATATATCTGTCTCTGCTTTCCAGCAAGATTACTAAGCAGTTGAAGTAACCAGAAGATGTCAGGGCTCTTTGTAACTTAAACTGTAGCTCCAAAAATAGGGATAGACATCTTTTAAATCCCATTTTAAAAAGCTACTGTAAGATATACTATGAACACCTTAAACATTATAACTTTAAATGAAGATACTTATTTAAATATACAGTACTTACTAAAGAACTTTTAATAAGCAACTTATACAATAAATTGGTATTTGGATTTATTTAGACTGATGATCCCCAGAGGAACATAAAATCATTTAATTTCTGGGTATTTCTAATGAACCAATTGATTGTTTTTTTATTAGTACCTTGGTATTTCCAAAAGGTGAAAATCATTGGTTCATGTAATTAAATGTTTTGTGTCATATTAGATTTCTACCAAAATCAGCTGACCTCTTTGGACTCTTAAGCTGTCCTTATCCTTCTTCCCTTGTCCGGGGCTTTTTTCTTTTCTTATTTTTCTTTTTCAAATTAAAGTTCAACCGTTTATGCATTGCTTACTATGTTACTCTAAAACAGAGTATTTTATCCACATGCTAGATAAATTTTTCAAAATTAAATCTAAGCAGTTACATTTATTACGCTCATCAACCACATTATACACATATTATATCAACATTAATATTGTTGTGATGAGGAAGCTCAGAAAACCTAAATGACTGGCCCAAAGACACATAAATAGTAAGTTGTAGAGACCCAAAAAGATCTCAGGTGTGGGAAATACTGGTTAATACTGTTCTACCAAACTTGTTTTCAGTGGTAACTGCTGTACTGCAGAATTCAGTTATCATACTTTTTATCTCCTTTTCAGAGTTCACATTTGAGAATTAAAAACAAATCTTTTTTGCCATTATTTTTTAAACTTATGAATGATCATTAAAAAAAACAATTTGCTGATGTTCAAATATTTTAAGGCAGTGTGACTGATACTGTGGCATTCTTACTAAATTTCTTTCATCTTAAATATCACATGTTTAATTTAAGCTGAGGGAGGCACATTAATTTTACCAGGGCAACAGATGAACTTCAAGCACCAGCATTCTTCACTTGAAGTGAGAAATTGAGTTCCCAGAGTAAATAAAAACAAGATTGAAGGTTTAAATCCTCTGCTAGGCTTTTTGAACTTATATACTCATTAAATGTTTATTGGAGTGGTGGGATTACAAAGGATTTAGGGAGCTTCATCAACTCATATATAGCTAATCACTAAGTAAAACACTACATTTGATAAAGTGTTTCTCACAATGCCACATTCAGTCCATCTTAATGAAAACTGCTTCAAACTGATTTTATTTGAGAGCACTTCTTGGTGAGAGTGCTCATAGTGCTTTCTGCCTTTTTCATGAGGAATTTACATGGGAGATAAATCAAAGCAGAGCCCCAACTTAGTAAAACAGGTATTCTAAGTTCTTGTGTTTAAGTTTATTGTGACAGAGTTTGACTTTTGACAATGGGGTGTTAAGTTTTATGACCCCCTCTCCCTCTCTCTTAACTATTAGGATATTCTTTCAGTTGATGGCCATAAATATTGATCACATGCCAAATGTGGTATAGAGGTTACCTGCCCTTAAGATGCTCACAGTCTAGTGGGAAGATAAGACAATATAAACAGATCTACATAGTATAACATGGTATAGAAGCAAAGAGGAGAGGTACTTTATCTACCCTAGAAATTCAGCGAGTCATACTTCTGATGACTAATACTTAGGCAGATATCAGAATTATTAAAAATAAAAGAAAAACAGTCTATAGCAAAGGCAAGAAAATTAAAATGAGAGAAATACAAACCGAAAATCAAGACAGGTAGTTGGATTGCAAGGTACGAGGCTGGGAAGATCATCAAGGGCCACGGCATGGGGGGCATTGTGATTCCCAGCATTACCTAGCATTTTAAAGATATTTGTTGTATGAAGCTTATATTTTATCTTCAGATAAGTGAGCAATGGTCATCTTCCTTAATTGAGATTGTAGAAGAGTCACCATTGGCCACATCGTCCCTGGGAGTTCTTCAAAAGAAGGTTCTTTTCCTTTTTTAGAGCCTTTCCACCTCTCATTCTGCCACCCCCAAATTCTCTTCACAACAAAAGTACCCTAGAGAAAGTCAACAGCAATAAAAATCCCAGTGCTAGGATTTATCTCTGATGTGAAGGATTGTTCCTTTTCCAGCATCCCCTTGGGAGACTGCGCTTTGATATATCAATAATCCTGTTACATCTCCTTAGATCTTCACTTCAGACCAGTGCCGGTTCCAAA